GAATTTTGCGATGGACTTACCTCCACGTGGTGCATCCTGGGCAACATATACTCATAAGGCAAAAAATTCTGCAAACCGGCAGTTGACTTCTGAGTTCAAGCTATCATGACCCCACTGTATGTCATATTCGACCACTTTCACAGTACTCACCTCACCTTTCATCTACCTTTGTGTCTGTCTCTTTAACATCTTTAAAACACTCTTCTGTTCACCCCCCCCCCTCTCGACTTTTTCGATTTGATGTTCCTCTCCCTCTGTGAAGCCTGAAGTCAACTAAAGGGCTAATGATAACTATCATAAAGCCTACCATTTGACATAAATAAATACATTGGGAGGGTGCAAAGAAGCGTCTACAACGAAATCGCAACATTTTAAATTGTGGGTTTTGATGCCTCTTTGATCTGAAAATTGTATAGGTGACACTAAACTCTAATGTAAGCACAATTTCAGTTGGCTATTTTGAACAAATTTATCTGTAATATCAACTAATCATTTTGTCTTAAAACGAGGCTTCTGAAGCGTCAACAAGGTACGATGCTCACATTGCTGAACCAAGGAATCCCACTCGAAGAGTCTGGAAAGTGCGTCGTGTTATTGATCGCTTTGGGGGACTAGTGAGTAATGTAAGAGTGTGTCTTTTTTACACGGTTTGAGTAGGCAAAATTGCATTTCAATGACTGAGCTATATGCAAAGACCACAACCAAAAAATTGGCATTTATACTATACGCTCTATATTTTCTATATTTTTCCCGAAATTTAGCTGATTTCTGGAGCAATTTCACAGTGAATAGTTTGCTGAGTTTTAGTCAGGGCTTGTGTGTTTACCCAGTGAAACGGAAGTCATTATCAGGAAAGAGGTAAAGATCCAGATATTTGGAATATTAGAACACGAAATGCAAGAAAGTAAAATTGTTGCAAGTAGAATTGATATATATACTTGGACTAAAATGACTGCAACCATCGCATCCATTTCCACGCCATCAATTTACTTAAATTCAAGCTGGACTATTGCCCCATATCTTTAAGAGCTTTTCTTGATAAAAAAGATTCAACAATGAATGGCATTATTCCTTGACCATTAAATGGGTAAAGAAGTAAAAATGGAGTTTGGATCAGCGGTGTTTGTTCATTGATAAAACTGCAGTCGTTTGGTAGAGTAGTAAAGAGTGCAGTGAAGTACATTTGCCTAATAAGGCATTTTTGAACATTCAAAACACTTGTTTGGTGTAGTTATAGGTAAGTAAATTATGATACACTTTCTTTAACTTGCTGAATAGCAAGTGATAATTATAAAACGCACAATCATGTAAGGGGAAGTATCAAATACAGAGCCGCTTAATTCACTACATTCTACTCTTTAATTGTTTTAAAATGCTTTTTCCTCTATCAGTTGAAAACTGGAGCATTAATTTACACAATTTGACAAATGATCAATACAGTTCAGATGCAAATGCTTTCCACTCTGGACCTATCATTTGAAATAGAGCGGTATGTTATTTGGCCTGAAAAAATAAACCCACACAAATCAATCGAACATAATTTGACAAAGTAGCACTCTATTACAAATTGAGTAAGGAAACAAAATTTCGTTTGAAAAATCTTAAAAAGTCCCCAGTTAACAGATTCTTTTGGATAGCAAACCATAATGAATAATGTCAATATCGATAACTAAATTTATTCAAAAAAAGCTTTTTTTATTAATTTTATTATTGTATTTGATGAAAGCGGCTAATATGAATTATTATTTCCAACAGCGCGCGCTATTTAACGAGACATTAAGGGAACTTTATCACTGAGCAACCTTTGGTAGTTGGTTAAAGTGTACATCTGATAAATCAGAGTGTATGGAATAGATATACTTGCAGAAATGGGGATTGTCAATTCTGATCAATTAAAGGGGTAATAGTGTGTGTAATTTTCGTTACGTAAGACCGGTGGAATCGTGAGTATCAAGGGGATCTATTTGGGCCAATATCCTCGTATTTTTTGGTTTCGGCCAAGTGAGAGGACAGGAGAATAGCTATCAAACTTTCTGGAAGAAGGTAGAAGTCACAAAAGGAAGTGAAGCATGTTTAGAGATAAGATGGATAAAATAGGCAGGGACAAGATCGACCAAAGCTATCGGTTATACGGGAAGAGGGACTGATTAATTGGTCTTGGTGTAGAATACTAGGGAGTTCGCGTGTTATCCATATGATATATTCTTAATAATGTAGTCAGCATGATTGGGACGTGATCAGTACTTAATTGGTGACTACCATAATCTATATTCTGTAAAAAACCCAACCGCCTCTAATCAATATACGCGAATGTTTCGTCGATAAGAGTCATAACTTTTAATAAATAAAAAATCCGACTTTAACTAATAGTTAAAATTTTGCTTTTGGTTGTTAACTTCCTTCTTCCTTATTACCTTCAACATACTTCGTGTTTGATATTCAAGGTCCAAGAAACAGAAACGCAAATTGAGAAATCAGCTAAAATTGCGCAAATGTCCTTTAATAGGACTATCGTATTCCCACAACCACTTAACTAAAATCGTGTCATCTACTTCATAATCAACTTCAGCATTTGAAATAAGCCATTTGATTTACTCACTTCCAATGCTTTGCCGACTTCAAATCGTCCACTAACCTTTGCACGGCGTTAATCCACATCACGCCTGATATCGTAAAAGTTATTTGAGACAAAGATTCCTTTCATTGCCGATGTTTTGATCTCTAGCCATCAACATCCAAAACATTGCTCTTATCTCCATTCCAAAGCACCTTCATTTAATACTGTCCACCGGAGTGATCTAGTGCTGCTTCGTCTTCCTCTCAGATGAAACCTTATGGCGCCCAATTGATGGGCGTATTTTGTAGTAATGCATCGAAAAAGACGAACATTGCAACGATGCGAATAGCCAGTAAATATGACGAATTCGAATATTGCCCCTATTAGCCCTTTAATGCCCTAATTATTTTTTTTGAAAAAGCGCCTCCTATTACGAGTGTAGTACTAATGGAGGGTTTGTTTGTTTGTTTGCTGGTTAACGAACACGCCTGCCAAATTGAAAGTCGTGGTACTTAAGGTCATTTTTAGGCCAGTAAGTCATCCTAACAAGATAGAGTACAATACAAATTCATCAAGACCTTTTATAAAGTGCGCATTAATCCTATTCAATGCAATCATACTCAAATTGTATTAATTTTAAAAATTATCAATACTACATCAAAACTATTAAAGGTAAACATGATAGCAACACCAATGATCACATAAATAGGCAAAAGTCAGTTGCTACACAATTAAGTTTACTTATGTACAAAAAAGTAGTAATGTAAGTGCCGATCAAATAAGGAGGTCATCATCAGGATCCTCATCGTCAATGTCATCAAATTCATCCGGCTCATAATCAACTTTCATCTCCGATGCGATTGGAGCATTGATCGCAGATGTATATGGTAAGACAACCTTCTGTTTGGCTTCCATTTCCTCTTCCGTCACAGTGAGCTTGAAGGAAGATGTGGGCAGAGATTCCTCAATTTTCTCCACCTGAGTTCCTATACTTGAACAACTAACAATAACACCAGCCGGAGAATCGAGCTTTAAACGGCAGAGTCCGGAAACCGCTAACTTATTAGCAGGAGGAACGTCAGGAAACATCCGAATAGATTTACAAACAGAATCAAGTGTTCTACGGTGCCAAAATGAAACATCAATTTGAGTAGAAATGCATTTTGAGGATAAACGAACACAAGTGGAGGCTAGAGATTCAAATATTTGGCTCAAGCTTCTACTAGCGCAAGTGATTTCTCCATCACCATAAGTATAGAGGGTCAATGTAAGGACAACCATGGACACTGATGAACACGTGGCAAGAGAATAAAAATATGAAGACAAAAGACGACCCCAATCACAAATAAAACTATCAGAAGGACATAATTTTAAAAGAGCATCGAGACTTTCAAATAAGATCACCCATGAACCCGAACCGGAGATTCTATCCTCGATTGCCTTAAATAAGTCTGGGACTGTTTCATAATCATAAAAGGATATTCCCTCAGCAGAAGATGGTGCGATATATGACGATTTTGTTCCAGGCAACTCAGTATAGATAATCAGAATTTTGTGCCTACCGCACAAACGCTTTAGCAGAGTTGGCCAAACAAAATAATGGGAAGATTTTGGTAGGGCTTCTTCAATAAGAAGTAGTGACGAAAGCTTGCTCCCATTTAATATGTCGAAAAGATGGGTTGATGGCACCGTCATTGTATGTAAGGAAGCTTAATTTAATATAACAAAAAATCTATTCCAATTAAGGCAGCAAAAGAAATAGTAAAAAACAACGCGCAAACAACAATTCGTTACGGGCGCACCTTCGGAGCCAATAATTAGAAAGGACGTACCAATTTTTTGCAAATAATATTTATAATGGTTAGTAAACCAAATTTCTCTTGCAACAGAATTTAATTGAAATTAAAAATATATTTAGGCTAAGAAAATGTGAATTTACATATTATATTAATTGTTTATTTGAACCAGATAAGAGGCAGTAATTTATATACCATACTTTTTAACTTGAGTGACGATGTCTACGGCTTCTCAGTATTTTTATTCTTTCGATTGTTATTTTGATTTAGAGATTGTGCCAGGGTTAGAAAATATCTACATGAACAATTAATTGCTACTGGTGAACGTGATAGGCTAAAAGAATTGCTAAGAACCAGATTGTTGGAATGCGGCTGGAGGGAGGACCTTAAGACCCATTGCAACGGTATTTTATTCCTTAATTTAATCTTGCATTACTATTTTTGTAGAACTGATAACAAAGAGAGGTCTTACGTATGTCACAGTCAACGATCTCGTTACGGAGTTAACTCCAATTGCCCGCAAAAATATTCCCGATTTTGTCAAAAAAGAACTCGTGGATGCGATCCGCAATTTCCTGCCCAAAGATGCCTGCGGTAATGGAGACGACAACAATTGAATGCCTATGTATATTATTGTATTTATTTATCCAATACAGTTTATGTGATTTTACAATTATTTGTACTTTGTTCTCTTTTATCTTATTGAGCTTTGCTTTTTCGAATGCATTGAATTTTATTGTTATACTCTCTAAATTCTTCTTGCCTCATGCTTATGGTTCCGGTTTTATTGGGACCCCGTTTGTTGCTCCTTCCATGCGATCTGTTCTAGTTACATCAAAAGTGATTGTTGCTCGTGATCTGAACTCTCAAAAGTACTAAGACACGAATGTGTTCAATACGGTCGCGCATGGGTCTCGAAATGGGCTGAAGTGTTAACAGATTATTTCATTTTTGGTGTAGCCTATGTTTAAAAAATTAGCAAGTCAATCTAAGTTCGCCCAGATTGTTTTGGAGCCTTTGCACAACCCTGTTGTTGCAATGATCTCATTTTGAATCCACGCTGCTTTTTTAACTTATTTCGATGGTCTTATTCGGACCCGTGATAATCGGGGTTTTCACATACCCGTTTATTATTTCGATGCTGCATTTTTTACTTTCTTTGTGTAAAATGATTCAAATATCTTCCTCGTTTCTCTTATGTGAACCTGGTAGAGCTTGGTTCCTCATTAGTTTGTTTTACTTTCAATCGAGTCTTGATTGTCCGCTATGGACACAGCACGTGATCTACCCTTTAAGTTCTCTCAGTGCGCAGGTCACTCTGATGACGTCGCTCTTAAATCTTCTTCATTTTTTTGGTTCATCTCTATAACTATTTTATGCCTCTACATACCAACAATATCCATCCCACCTTTTCACTGTTTTGTTTCCTTTTCTTGGCTCTTATCGGTAAACTTAACTCGCCCCACCCCTTCCC